CATCCAAATCCAGAGGATGCACAAGGAGGGAAAGCATAAAGAACAGAGAAAAAATATATATCTGGTAATCTGAACAGCTAATTTGAAGACAACCATATGCAATATAACAACCGTTGATGAATTCCTACCATCTTGTCTAGTGAAACTCTGTATCATTTGTAATGCTTTTTATTTTTATTTTTTATTCTCTTTAATGGTTTGATCAGTCTTGCAGTCTTACATCTGGTAATCTGAGCAACTTCACTGAAGATAACAATATGTAATATAACAACCACTGTTAATTCCTATCATTTTGTTCTGAAACCCTGCATCATTTTTATTGTTTTTGCTTTGTTTTGTTTCTGTCTATGTTGTTGGTGTTTTGCTGTTCTTTTTTATTATCCTCTTTAAAAATAAAAAAGACAAAAAGGAATAAAATAATACTAAGACTCAACAAATCAAAGAGCTGATTCTTTGAAAGAACAAACAAAATAGACAAACCCTTAGCCAATCTTAACAATAAAAGGAAAGACACAAATCAGTGCAATTAGAAATGGAAAAAGTGACATCACAATAAATACCACTGAAATCCAGAAGATTATACCAACTATTTCATCAACCTGTACACCAAAAAACTGGAGAACTCAGAAGAAATGGAGACATTTCTAGATACATATGAATTACCAAAACTGAGCCAAGACTTAAAAATCCTAGATAATCTAATAACAGCCCCCAAAATTTGAATCACTAACAAAAAAACCTACCCCGAAGAAAAGTCCAGGGCCTTATGCATTCACAGCCCCATTCTACACTGGGTGCTGGGCTTCACATTAATAGGGCCCCATGTCATTCCCTGTGTACAGAGTAAATTGCAAGTTCTCTTGCCCTTGGAGAATAGCTCCAGCCTATCGCTGTCTCAGATGCTCTGACCATTTCCCCGGCACAGGCAGGTTGTACCCTGAGACCGCGTTCAAATGTTACTGCTAGAGTCCTCACCCTCCACAGGGACAGTTTTTGCTTGTGATGAAGGGTTTGGGTAATTCTGCTGTTCAGATCACAGGGAGAAGACTGCCTTGTGAAGTACCTGTGACCCCTGCAAAGGCATCTTCCCATCAGAGCTTGTCTCTCTGGACTCCTAGCAAACCCCAGTCCCTAAACAAACAGACAGCAGGGCGCCTCACCAGCAGATGCATAAGAATCTGAGTGCTCGTGGGGTGTGGGGCTGCCTGCGAGGTCTGGGAGAAGCACGGGCGTTCTAAGCTGCAGACTAAGCTGTAGGGTTTTCAAGATCAGACCATTGGTGCCTGTCCGGGTTTGCTCTGCTGCTGCTCTGCTGCTCTGCTGCCTGGCCAACTGAGCACTGGGTGTTGGAGCAGAAATGACACATAACGAGACCACGAACAAGGCCAGGAGCCAGTGATACCCCCAGGATGTGAGGCCACAGGGTGAGGCGGTTCAGCTCAGGTGACGATGGGAGAAATGAACTTGTAGGCCTGGAGCATGATCAAGGAATGAGTGAGGGGTGAGGCCGTGGCTGGGCTTCGCAGCAGAAGTGTATTCTTTGTCTGTTTCCTTGTCGCATTTCAGAAAGCGGATGAGGACTACTTGGGTCTTTCCTGATGCACAAGTGGCTCATTTCAAGTCCAGAAAAACCGACTGGAGGAAAGGATGCGACGGGGAGCTTAAAATGTTCCTCATGCTTGTCAGTTATAAGATAAAAATCTGAGGAGCAGCTGACTTTCCTCCTCATATTAACGTGAAGGTCTGCCCTACTGCTGGAAGGAATAGTTCTCTAAAAGACAGTAATAGGTCTGAAGCATGGGTCTCAGCTTCTGAGGGACATAGAACTTGTATGGCCAGAATTCATGTGAATCTGCATCTGATTCCAGTCTCTACAGGGATTAGGGACCTTTTGTTCATTTGTTTGCAATTCAGTCCTTCCCTCCTCTGTCCAAGGGCAATTGAGAGCTTGTTACAAATTGCACTCTGCTGCTTGTGACCCGTATTGCGGGGAGAGAGAAAACAAAGTCCATTCCTATACCTGTGCAGGCGTGTCCCCCATCACATCAGGAGACAAGTATGTTTTCAAATCCACTGAGGGAGGGTGTGGATCTGCTGTCTAAGCAGGCAGTCCTGGACACTATGGCACTGACTCGAGTTGAGACAGGTGATTTATCTGCAGAGCGAACCTGATTAGTTTCCCATTTGCTCTCCCTCCTCTGAGGTTAGGATGCCTTCCAAGAGAACTTTAAACCAATAGATATTGTAAGGTCCACAGATGCCCGATAATCCTCCCCTGGTGGAAGACAGATGGGATCTGTGTCTGAGACTGACTTTGATCTTACTCTAGTGTTTGAGTAACCCTAATTTAGTGACTGTGTCTTCTCTGCTTTAGTTTTTTTCAGTAAAGAAGTAAAAGTGGGTGATTTGCTGCCAGCTAGTCTGTGAAATATACTGAAAATACAGGATCTGACCCAAAGCTTGACAGAGAGGAGCTTCTCAAATAATCAGCACCTATGGTCATATATTCCAGGATATGGTGCCTCTGGCATGATCTCTTCTGGAAGTTGCTGCCAGAGTATCATTCTTCCATTTATTCTCCCTGGGGATGATATTGGATGATGGTATCTTTTGACATGGAGATGGTATAAATGATATGGGTTCTAGTATTGTAGTGACATGCTGCTAAGTGCTCTATTTTTAAAGGGATGATTCTGTGACTATATCCTTCCTGTGGGCTGAGCCAGACCCAAAGTCTGGCTAAGAAGCATCTGGAAAGGGTGAAGGAGGAGGAGGAAAAGGGGAGCTGCTTTTTGCTGCAGTGACTGTGAGCTGAGACATTCATTCTGTGAAGAAGAGTGGGAAGAAAAGATCGGAGGAGGGCCAGGACCCTCACTCATGTCTGGAAGGAAAGACCTCCCTGGGAGCCTCAGGGGTCTGTGTCTTGAAGAACTGGCAGGAGCTCACTCTAGTTGCCCAGACAGAGTTGTGGTGCCCGGTGCCCCTCAAATACAGCACTGGCCTCATCTGGACACAGACTTGAAGATGTGCTGCTATGGAAGATTCTTAGCCCCTGATCCCACTCCCGTGTGACTAGGATGAATTCTGTGCAGAAGGACAGATGCAGCATTTATCATGGGAACCTCTGGTCAGCATCTCTTGCCACGTGGTGAGAGACTAGAGTATTGTACTTCTTCCCTCCTCTGCTGGAGCCAAGGATCTTCCTGATATATCTCTTAGAAATGGGTTTAAGAGATGCAGCTCCTCCAAACACAACTTCCTTAGGACAAAGTCACACCAGGACTACCTAGAGGCTCCCGAAGAATGACCCAGGTAATTGCCTAGGCAGGACAAGAAGGGGCAGTGCCGACAGAGCTGGGGTGGGCAAAGGCACCCCATCTTGGACAGTGACTCCAGGATGAGCTCTTTGAAGGGAAGCCAGTGGGGGCCCCTGTGGGCCCACTTTCCCCAGATTTCATTGTCGCATACATCTGTCTGATAAGGGAGAAGCCAGGTCCTGCTCTGTCCCCAGAATTCTCTTTTGCTGCATCGACATCCTTTCAAGCTCATTCCATGAGTTTGGTTCCTCCCAGAAGCCACATGGATTCCCCACAAGCCCCCAGATGGTAACAGAGACCTGGAGCCTGGGGGAGTCTGAGGGACACAGTGAGAGCTCAGCTCCAGGAGGGGCTGCCTGCTCATCTCTCAGTCACCTGCTGGAAGGCAACACTAGCGTTTTTCTCTCCCGTGGGGGGCAGTCCTCTGTCCTTTCCCTTCTCTGGATAAGCTTCTTCCTTAGAACTGGCTCTGTGGGCAAGACATAGCTCACAATCAGGGTAGGGCCACAGGCTGCCTGGGGACAGATATGGGTGGAGAGGATGGAGCAAAACATGTTGGTTAGAGAACCTGAGGCTTGGAGTCTTGAGAAAGGTCAGCCCACCAGCCAGCAACACCAGGGACTCCTTGCAGCCCGGAGTGTAATATTCCAAAGAGGGCACCCTCTGCATCTGTGTATTTTAGTGTCTACCTGTGCCCAGCTGCCACTTACAGGTTCAAGGAAACTGAAGGGCAGCTTCCTTCCAACTGGGATTCAGTGGTATAGCATTTCTGGAACACCTGATGTTACGGTTTCTGTCTGGATGTCCCCCTAAAGCCTCATGCAGTCATGGGGAGGGCTTCTAGAGTTTATGATTGATTCATGGTCCAGTGGTGGGATTACGGATATGAGTGCTACACCCGCTCTGGGGTGGATAGTTTGCATACAATGTAAGGGAGGGAAAGAGGCTGCTTGCCTCCACTCCCCCTCTTGTGCTCTTGTTGCTTTTGCTGTTTTCCACCGCCATGAACTGTTACCCTCTGCCCTGTGCCACTCTGCCTTGGAGCCAGCCGAGTATGGACTGAAACCTCCACAAACTGTGAGCTAAATAAACCTTTCCTTCCTTAATGTTGGGCATCAGGTATTTTGTCCCAGCAACAAGAGAAAAGTAACCAAGACACCTGAAGACACAGAAATCCCAGAGGAAGAACCACAGCTCTTAGGGAGGACAGAAGCAGGCCCTGTGCATAAACTGTGATCCCTTCTCCGGAGACATCAAGTGTGTCCAGGAATGTTCTGTGTCTTACTGGAGCACAGATCACTTCTTATGTAGGGGTTGGATTTTCTGGTCCAGGAGGGTGAGTTTTGCAGCTCTGGTACCACATGGAAAGTGGGGATATTCAGGGCTTTGTGGTTCATCTCCAGCCTGGGTCAGCCTGGCCTCATCTCCCCCTGAGCAGGTGTGCCTGAGAGCATTTTTCTGGGGTGATGGTCAGGATGCACTGGCAGGAAAGACTTTGTCCTCTCAGTGCAGTCTCAGACCAGGTGTCCCTCTCCCAACAGGACGTGGCATCACCTCCACAGAGAAGGCGCAGTTGGAGAGCCTGGTGTTGAATGGGACTTTAGGGCCAAGAACAATTTCTCGACCCCCCTCCCTCTTTGGATACATGCTTGTGGCACACACACAAACAGAATAATGATAATGTCACTGTCTGCTTTGGGGAATTTATTGAGTCTCTACAAGTCTTCTAGGAACACTGCATTTCCATTCATTGATTATTCACAGCAGCTCTACACCCATTAGTGCTGATAACTGCCATTTCCTGGGAAAAACTTTCAATACAGAGTTTATTAATTAACAGGAGAGCCCATGAGTGCATCATATTTCACAGCCAGCCTGAGGGGGTCACTCCTGCTGGAACTGACTGGGTTGGAGACCTCACACTGGTACTCCCCAGCATCCTCCCTCCTGACCGGGCCGACGGTGAGGATGCTGTTCTTCTGGGACAGCGTCATCCTCTCTGTGAGCTGCAGAATCTGATCATTGAAGATCCACTGGATGGAGATTCCAGTGTCACCCGAGAGGCAGGTCAGGACCACAGAATCCTCTTCTTTTACTGTGGTGCTGTTGGTGCTGATGGAGGGCTTTGTCACTACATCTGTGGAGGAACAGAAGGAGCCTGACTGAGAGTGAGCCTGGGCTACGATTCCTCCTCAGAGAGCTCAGTTAGCTGTCAGGGGTCAGGGTGAACAATAAAGTCACCCAGAGGCTGGCCCTGATCTTCTGCAGAGGTTGCATATTTCTAATCAGGTGCGAATCTGTACACAGAGGATTGTACATCCCTCTGATACCACGTTGTCCATAGTGACCTTTGAGGGTCCCCTGGATATCTCTTTTTTTATTTTTATTTTTTATTTTTTGGTACCTGGACTAGAACTCAGGACCTTGCACTTGCCAGACAAGGGCTTATGCCGCTGAGCTATATCCTCAGTCCGACATCTCTCTTTCTTTTTAAAACTTTATTTTAAAGAAAAAGAAACAAACAAAAAAACCCCCCAAAAAACAAAATTCCAGAGCAATATGATAGGAGGGTAACAAGGGTTAATACATTGCACACTGTTAACTTTAAATTAGTTACTCAGAGTATGAGATATCAGTATTTAATTGTCCAAACAATATTAGCACAAACACATCTTTTCAATGAACTGAGAGAAATTAGTAGTATAACTATTTTAACTATCTTTTGTATATATATGTGTATATATATA